TGCTGCCTCACGACAAGAAACACCCGCTGACCGTCCCGACAGCCTCCTGATTAACTCGACTTCTGATTGAGTTTTGCCATAATCGGACTCTGCATAGACGTGTTCAACTAACACTCAGCCTACTTTGCCGTCGATTCTGGGTTCCACGCGGGAGAATCGTCGTCAAACAGCAGCTGCATCGGTGTGTAACCTGCACTCGATGGCAAGCTGTCACACCACAACCTCCAATGGACAACCTTTCTCGTGACCGAGTGACGCCAACTCGACCGTTTCTCAGCATCGGCCTGGATTACGCAGTTGACCCATCCTTATCCGGACCAGCAAGGGACGCGGACATTGCGCTCACAAGGAATATATCGCTGTCTTTATCTGTTTCTGGTCAAAGGCCATTCATCTGGAAATTGTTTCGGACTATTTATCCGAGGCCTTCATTGCCGCCCTACGCCGCTTCGTCTCCCACAGAGACCTGTGCACCGACATCTACAGTGACTGCGGCACGACGTTCATCAAATCACACACTGCACAATCTCTTCACGGCATCAACATCAGATTACAGTATAGCTTGCCGCTATCGCAACCTTGCCGCTACCGCGCAAGGAATCCGCTGGCATTTTAATCCGCTAGCGGCCCCGCATTTCAGTGGTCTGTGGGAGGCCGCCGTGAAATCGATCAAATTTTACTTCCGTCAAGTGATCGACGAGACCACCCGCACTTTCGAAGAGTTGAGCACACTCCTCGCCCAAATGAAAGGTTATCTTAACTCTCGTTTGTTGCAGGCACTCTTTGATGATCCAGATGACATCTTGGCACTGACACCCGGTTACTTTCTCATCGGGGCGCCGCTCTTCGCTGTGCTCGAGCCGTCGCTGACTGGTCAACCTAAAAACACATTGTCACAATGGCGTCATTTGCAGTTCATAAGGAATCATTTCTGGCAACAATGGTCAATGGAGTACATCCATGGACTCACCCCGAGATCTAAGTGGCTCAAGTACAAGGCTACACCCCACATCGGCGATCTTTGTCTCGTGCTTTCCGAGTTCACCCCTCCGAACCGATGGCCCCTCGCCCGAATAACGAACCTGCATCCCGAAGACGACGGCATCGTACGCGTGGTCTCAATCCGGGCAGCCACCTCCGAACTCGTGCCCCACTCGTCAAGCTCGTTTTACTCCCGGGCGTGAACGAAACGACCGTGTCAAACACCGACATATAACACTTCTCACAACATTTACATTCACGATCACTTCATCACTCACCGTTGCAATTGCATCGCGCAATATCATTCCACTTTCGGCACAGCGTCACTCGCGCACATTACTATCACGATTCAACATTGCACTTGTTTGTCATTTCACGATTTCCGCGCATTGTATTTCATTCACACTCGGCATTCCGTTCCGACCACGTGTTTCACGCTGCCTCATGATTATCACGTATTTCACGCAATTACCACGTGTAATTCACCGCGCAGGCGCGCGTCAATCCCACCATCGATTGCTATCGAATTGCGATTTGCGATCGGAAACCACCACCAGCTATTTTGTCACGTCGCAACAAGGCAGACGGGAATGTTTAATATGCAAATGTAAAATTTATATAGTTTCTAGAAAACTCGATTGTCAAATTAATAATAAAAAATCAAAGTTGTTTATATGTTTATCAAAGGAAAAAAAACCCGTCGTAAATCAACGGGTCATAAATCTGTCGCCAAAACACTATCGTGAAAAATAAACAATTAACGGTATCGCAATCGTTTTGCCGGATACCTATACTGTGACAAGCATGCGCAGCTTATCGTGTGCGGCCCGAATCACCAATAATTAAAGCGCTCGCACGCTTGCGCATGTCAAATCCGCGTCTTTTTGCGAATCTCGTCGAAACAACCAATTATAAACCATGCTCTCAAGTCACCTCGAGCACAATTAAAATTGCTCATAATTATTGGCGCTTTACGAGAGGGTAGGCCCCTTTGGAAAAACCATAAAAGGGAGCTCGGACTCCGCGCCTTATCGCTTTTCCGGCGTGAACCGCATATTGCATGTCCGCTTATTTGATAAACCGTAGAAATTCGTTGACGACCGCCGTTTATTTTTTTGATTACAATTACGTCTTGCTGAAATTGTTAAAGTCTGTATTAATTTTGTGCATGTATAATTTTGTCGATCAGTGTATTTTATATTATTAAGTTGTTTTTTTTTATAAATGTTTCGGTCGTTTGGAAATTAGAGAATACAATAAAAATATTCTCAATTATATTCTCTAGAACGTTCTCGGTAATTGACCTAACAACAGACTCCGATATTTGCCTACTTCTTATACTGGTTGTTTTGAACGGAGAGCCACGAGCTCGTAGCTTATTGGCCGTTTTTGTGTTGTGTGATTTCTTTTTCTTTTATTGTATTATCGCGAACAAGGATACATGTTTTCGGAGACAGTCCGACTTAAGACGGCAAGGAGCTTACATTTAAATCCGTTTAAGTCCGCGTTGAAACACTCTGTGAACCATTGCTGAACCGTATTTGTTACTGTGGCCGAAGTGATACGTTCTGAGATTGTTAAGACTTTAGATTTGTAAAGGTTGCTGCATCTTGTTTGAATAAAGTGTCGTTCGAGTGTTAATTGATTAATTCACCTATACTCCTCTCCTTTATACTGCGGTGGACATACGCGAGATTAACCGGACGAATGCGATCGGCATGAATTTATATTAGCGACAAAAAAAACGGTAACATAAAAAATAAACAAAGTGACTTATCTAATTTAGCGCGACCTTCTTTTGCGAAGTGCGTTTTCAAACAATATAAAATAATTATAAAATATCTATTTTAAGAAAAGTAAAATTTTACTCACACATTAAAAATTTTTATAATTGTTTTTTATTTTTTATTTAACAAAAAATAAACGATGAGAACAATCAAATTTATAATAAACAGCACCATTAAACATGAAAGTAGATGAGTTTCATAAAGACAATTTTTATGATAGAAAGGTAATATATATTATGTAGATTTTATATTTATTTTATAATATATATTATTAATATATATTATGTAGAATTTGTGTGTAACATTTATTTTATGCATAATTTAATATAATGTTTTAATTTATTATGTTGTTTTCACTGCACTACACATTAAATAAACTTTATTAAATGTTGCGGAAGAGAAAGAGAGAGAGAGAGGGGGAGGGAGGGAGGGAAAAAGAGGGGGAGACAAGGAGAGAGGGGGAGAGGGGGAGAAAGAGAAAAAGGGAGAGAGAGAGAAAGCGTATATTTATTATAAGCGCTTTGGGACAAAGTCCCCTCAAGCGCATCAAAAGTAAGAGATACAATTTAACATATATTGATACAGTTTGTTTTTGACTTTAAGATGCACTCTCGAATGCATACTTATACTAAAAATTAATAACGTTATAATATAATATACAATACAAATGTAAACTCAATTATAAACGATAAACAATAATTATGAACAATAATATTGATAATTCTGAAACGACAGTTATGAACGATTATAATTTTACTAAATATTTTAAATAAAATTATACTGAATATTACTAAGTATTTTACAATAATTTGCAGTACATGTATGTTTATATAAATTCAGTTTATACTTGAAGAGTTGAACTTTTGTGCCTGTTTAGGCACGACTAAAAACAATAATCAGAAGGTTATCGATCAGCTTGTTAAACCTTCAAATTTGAAAATACCAAGGAGCTTATGTCAATGTTTTCGCTCCTCGGTTCGCATTCACCGATGTTTGCGTCCATTTAGACACGTGTCATTCGGCTGATGCGTGATTTTGGTTCCTCTTCTTAGTCGAGAAAATCAGGAAGTTTCGCCGTACGTGGCGATTCTCGCATTATTCTGTAAGGAGCTGTTGAGCGAGACCATGCTCTCAAGTAATATAATATTTTTCAAAAGTTAAACGATTCACAGTTACTCCGCCTTCAGTATCTCCTCGCCACTGCTTCCTTGGTTCCTACCTCGCGCTCTTTCGGAGCGGTCCCGGCTATTCATTAACGTTCACATTAAAACTATAATAAGTTAAAAAAAAAAAAAAAAAAAGAGAAGAAAAAACCTTCGAAGTGTGAACATAAAAGTTGGTCCTTCGAGCCGGATCGAGGTAACCCACGGTGAACGCAGTGCGATCGTCTCTCTCTCTCTCTCTCTCTCTCTGCTGGACCTCAGTGACGGAGTCATCGTTTCGCCCGCACCCAAGGTGGAGACAGCCAACACGATGAGCGATCATCTCTCGCAGCAGCTAACAATGCTGCAATCTGTAGAGCGAGCGCTCTCCAACTTTAAAAAAGTTGGCAGAGCCAATTACACGGCGGCTAAGATTCGTCAACGAATATCAACCTTGAAGGAGACCTGGACACGGTGCATCGAGAAGCACGCTATCTTGGCACGAGCGTTCACCGCCGAGCAGCAGCGGACCATGGACTACTTTTCGAACACGATTTTCGAAAATTGCGAGGAATACTACGAGACAACCCTCGACTACATGGCCGACTGCCTCGAAGAGCTGGATCCAACGCCCTCCAGAACGAGCCTGTCGCAGTCCACGATAAGTACCGCTGAACCATCGTCTTTTTCATTAACTCATTTGCCGCCGATTTAACTACCGCCGTTTTCGGGAAATGTCGAGGACTGGGAGAGCTTCCGCGATCGCTTTACTTCTCTCATAATTCAAAGTACCGAATTAACTGCATTTTCGCGGATGCATTTCCTAGCTTCAAGTCTCACCGGTCGTGCGTTCGACACTATAAAATCTATTCAAATCACCGCAGATAATTTTGATATCGCGTGGAAAACATTAGTTTCACGATTCGACAATAAGCGACGGCTCGTCGACGTGCACGTATCAGCGCTATATTCTTTGCCGACGGTCGCTCGCAAATCCGCTGTCGAACTTAACGCACTTCGCGACAAAGCGAATCGCGCTATCGCTTCTTTAAAAAATTTAAATCGATCACCCGATCAAATGTTGAGCGATATGTTAGTTTTTAGCGTCACGCAAAAACTTGATCACGCCACTCGGAAAGCGTGGAAGTTAAAAACCGGTGACGACCCGAACATTCCTTCGTATGAAGCTCTCGACCGATTTCTCGACACGCGCATTCGTGCATTGGAGGAAATCTCTCCGGCTAATGCTTCCAAATTCTTGCGCGCGCCAAAAGTTACCAGTGCTAACGCCACTGCCGCTGGTTTATCGTGCCCATTATGTCGGGCCGCGCATTTCATCAACAAATGTCCGCAATTTTTGAGGAGGACTCCGAGTCAACGCCTTGAAGTCATTTTAAAAGCGAAGCGATGCGTCAATTGTTTGAGCGCAAAGCACGCTGTACAAACGTATCCAAGTCAATACTCATGCAGAACTTGCCAAAGCAAGCATCACTCGATGCTGCACGTTGACTCGGCCTCTTCCTCAACTGCATCCGCTGTCTCTCAAAAAAACGAAACCTCGTCGAGTGTGTCGTCAGACTCTATCGCGATTACTTCGGCCACGGCATTATGCTCCCAGCTAACAGGCGTCGCGCTCCCGCAAGTGTTACTCGCGACGGCCCGCGTCACCGTCGGTGCACCGTCGGGTCGGACTCTCACCGTGCGAGCGCTTCTCGATCAAGGCTCGGAGATCACCTTCATCACGGAGCGTCTTGCACAAACTCTCAGAATGCGTCGCATTCGCCAACCACTCTCGATTTCCGCCGTCGGCGGAATGAACGCCGGAACTTGTCAATTCGCCGCTAAGATTCGGATCGCCCCGATCAATCAAGCTGCTCCCGTGTTCACGACAACCGCGTCGATTCTCAGATCTCTCACAAAATATTCGCCTTACAAGGCAAATTCCAGCTATGATTGGAGCTATATAAGCGATCTCACTCTGGCCGATCCGAATCCAACAAGCGCTGACCCGATCGAAATCCTGATCGGAGCAGACTTATATGGCGAATTGCTGCTTAGCGGCATTTGTAAAGGCGCCCCTGGGCAGCCAATTGCGCAGCAAACTATTTTCGGCTGGGTTTTGTCGGGGCCCATGTCCGAGCTGTCGACGCAATCGCGAGCGATCACCGTTCAGCATTGCGCGAATTCGGAGGCTCTAGATCAGGAGCTCAGACGATTCTGGGAAATCGAAGAAACTCCTCGACAGGCTCTCCTCAGCCCTGAAGAGCAGCAGTGTGAGGAGCATTTCACAGCCACGCATTCGCGCGGTGCTGACGGTCGATACACTGTGCACCTTCCGTTTAAGAGCGGTCCGCCGATCGACATCGGCGATTCGCGCCACACGGCTGAACGCTACTTGCGAGGCTTACATCGTCGCTTCCTTCGACATTCCGACCTTCGTGCGGCCTACGCCGAATTTATGCACGACTACAAATCATTAGGACATATGAACGAAGTGAAGAGCGATCAAGTCGCCTCGCAGGAAGTGTATCTCCCTCATCATCCTGTCATTCGCAACAGCAGCGTCACGACAAGATTGCGAGTCGTATTCAACGCGTCGAGTTTGACGACCAATTCAACGTCGCTGAATAATCACTTGCTCACCGGGCCAAAGTTACAAGCGGACTTATCGGCTGTCATTCTGCGCTGGCGACAGTTCCGCTACGTTTACGCTGCCGATATAACAAAAATGTATCGCCAAATAGTTATGGACCCGCGTGACATCGATTACCAGCGAATTCTATGGAGCGGCGCTCCTTCAGAACCCGCTCGAGCTTATCAGCTCACTACTGTCACATACGGCACAGCCTGTGCGCCATTTTTAGCGCTACGCGTCATTCGTCAGCTCGCTCAAGATGAGGGTAGTTCTTTCCCACTCGCTGCTATTGTTCTGCAGCAAAATACTTATGTCGATGACATTCTCTTCGGGGCGGACGACATACCTCTCCTTCGTCAAGTTCGCGAGCAGGTATGCGCGTTGCTTCGTCGAGGCCGATTCGAGCTGAGAAAATGGGCGAGTGTCACGTCCGGCCGTATAAATTTTTTCGTTTACTCCAAGTTCCTTAAACGCTATTTGAAAAGCGCGCCAAGCCGGCCATGACGCTTAACTTCGCCTAGAAACTAAGCGTGGCGCTTCGTAGCGCCTAAGGGTCTCCCACCACGGTGAGAGCCCCTACTCCGGAGAGTTCCCCCTCTCCAGGCCGCCGCAGGCCCGAGCCGCCGAAACGAAGGACCTCAGAACAGTCCCGAATTTCGTCAGTTCTCTGCGCGACACCGAACAGTATAGTCGCACTCCTAAATTCTAACTCTAAGTCCAAATTCTAAATCCTAACTCTAATTCTAAAATTCTAACTCTAAGTATAATATTCTAACTCTAAATTCTAAGTCTAAATCTAAATTCTAATTCTAAGTTTTAGTCTCGAATTTTGTACTACTATACGAATAAATCAGTGTATTCATGTGTGAAAACTAGTGTTCAGTATTCTTCAAAACTTCCACTCCCGTGATAAAATACGATAGCGTTTAAATTTGTCATACGGCGTTTGAATTCAGAATAATTCAAACTGTGTTTGGAGCGGACCACCGCTCATCACAGTCAGAATTAACATTCTCAGCATTTGCCAAAATAAGGAATTGATAGTGAGGTCCGCCGCATATCAACCCTCCTTATTTGAGTAATCATTCAGAGGATGCATCAAATTCAATATGCCTAAGACGCGACGCGCAGGAAGGAAGAATCAATTACGAAAACTAAACCGACTTTATCGCGAATCAGCGACCGAGGAATATTCTCAATTCCTCGGAGTGGAATATCAGGCCGATCCTGAATACGAGAACATTTTCAACATTAAAAATAATAACAACGACGAACTCCTACAGTGGAAGTGCATACCAATAACGTTCCAACCACGACGCCTGCCGCCGCCAAACATCCCAGTGAACGACCCTCGCCGCACGCACTACCTCCAAGTACGAGCCGACACGATCAAGAAAGTGCTACTAAAGGTAAGTGAAATTCACGTTAACCTAAGGAATCGCGCGTGTTAGCAAATTCAGAGACGCTTCTACCACGTGGAAGAGAACATTCTAGAAAAATCTCCGACGCATTTTTCCTCTTTTCCATCGTCACTGCGGAAGCTATAAAAAAAAGGTCGGGCTATAAAACTAGGGTCGACCACCACATGCGGTGCCACTCTCGGAATTCTAACACGGAAAAACGCAAATAGTTCAATCTCTTAAAAATCTTGTGTCTCAAAAAAAAATAACTTCGTAAATCCGTACAACAAGGTAGTCATTTAAACAATAATCAATTGAGAACACTTTCGATTTACCAACATTACCGACGATATACCGACATACGTTCTTTTACCGACGTTATCGACAATATACCAACATACGTTCTTTTACCGACGTTATCGACAATATACCAACATACGTTCTTTTACCGACATTACCGACGATATACCGACATACGTTCTTTTACCAACGGGTTATCGACACCTTACTGGCACCTTACCAGTGTTTTACTGAACAATTACCGACGGTTTTGCCGACGACTACTAACTTCTCGATAACTGCCGGGTTCACCGAAGATCTACGAGCGAATGACGCATTATCAATTCGATTACGCAACAAACACAAATGTGCCCACTCACCCTTAGAGGTATAACTCCTCCTCCAGAAGTTAATCTCTTCGTACCGTTTGAACCCTTATTCTATTGCCAAGTTGGTGTCGGGTACATCCATTTTGAGACTAAGGCAGCTCTCTGCATTTCATGCTACTCCACCTTACCTAGAGTCTCGAAATTACTTTGGACAAGGATTCGGAAGCATACTCTAATCATAGGCGGAACACCTATCGGAATAAATTGCGGAGTCTGCAACTTCCGACTTACCCTCACGCGAATCGGTGATTTGTGCGAGCTTTGTCAGTTTACGTACGAAGATTACTTACGCAACCCCAACGACGTTTCGCATAGAGCAATCGACGAAGCTATCTTTATTACAGTAGAGTCACAGGTAGGTCCCTCGCAATAATCCGATCACCTCAGTTCCAGCGCGAATAACCTCAGATCGCGGGTATCCCCGGGGAGAATCGCATAGATTCGCGTACCCGTAATAGCGATCGTGTCTCGTGGAAAAAGCCGAGCTCTGCATTCAAATTTTCGCAGCCGCGACCCCACGAGACGTAACAAAATTTGGTGACAGCGGTGGGATACGAGTTAATATTTGCGATGGAAACACGAGGGAAATCGGGTACGAAAAAGCTCACTGAAGTAGAAATAGACGAACTTCGCGCTCAATTACATGCCAAGGAAGCACGGTTACGCGAACAATCCGAGATGCTTCAACAGCAGAAAGAAACGTTCGAACGCGAAAAACGGGCTTCGGAAGAAGACCTCGAAATCATCCGCAGTAACCTCGTGAGTAAAGAAACGGAGATGGAAAAACGTTTGAACTCCATCACAATGGTAGCAACCGAAAAACCCGACTTAAGCGATCATATGCTCCAAGAAATCGAACGATTACGCCAGGAGATAAACTCCATGCGCGGGAACAATACGATACCTACGCAATATATTCCCAGCACCGCGGGACGCTTTCTCGACGAACAGGCGTCTCCCGCATTCCAACACGGAACCAATTATGATAGTCCAAGGGTGTCTTTCAGGGAAGCACTTGAGACTATCCCGCCATTCGACGGTCGAAATATCCCCCTCTCTCAATTTATACGAGCATGTAGACGCGCTAAAGAAATATTCCCACCATCGTCCGAGCGAAACCTAACCCGCCTACTTCTTACTAAGTTACGCGGGCGAGCTATATGCGCCGTAGAAGACGAAGAGTGCGAAACGATAACTCAACTTGCCGACCTCCTGAATGGAGCCTTCGGATCCCCGAAAACCATCGACCAGTATCGTGGGGAGCTGAGCACAATTTACCTTAAACCAAACGAGCATATCCTTGATTTCATTAGCCGCGTAAAAGACTTGCGATCTTCTATAACGGACGCGGAACGCCGAGCGCAAGGAATGCTATCCGTCGGATCAGTAAACGAAATCGACGCCTTAACAGCACGATCTTTCTGCGAGGGCTTGCCACTCGCCTATAGGATACAATTGAGACAAGAACACTATCGCGACCCGTTTCTAGCTTTTTCACACGTCAAAATTCTTGCGAAAAGATCGGAACTAGACAATGAAAGATTCGAAACTCCGCGCCGTTCTTACGAACGTAACGTATATCCGAATGAAAGGCCTTTAGCCCACTCGACGCCCATAAAAATAAACACGGAACGATCTCCTAACAACAGATGGACTCGAGGCGAGTACTCGCCGCGCGTCGAACAAACACGGCACAGTAACGCGCCGTTTCCAAAAGCCTATAATAGTACACAGTCACAGAGACCGACAAACACTTACAGAACGGAAGACGCCAACCGAGGGGGTCCCGAGAACAATAGACACGAACGAACCAGTAACAACAAATACTGTAGGTACTGTAAAAATCCGGGACACGAAATAGAGGAGTGCCGGAAAAGACAATTGTTACGTCTCGTGGGGTCGCGGCTGCGAAAATTTGAATGCAGAGCTCGGCTTTTTCCACGAGACACGATCGCTATTACGGGTACGCGAATCTATGCGATTCTCCCCGGGGATACCCGCGATCTGAGGTTATTCGCGCTGGAACTGAGGTGATCGGATTATTGCGAGGGACCTACCTGTGACTCTACTGTAATAAAGATAGCTTCGTCGATTGCTCTATGCGAAACGTCGTTGGGGTTGCGTAAATAATCTTCGTACGTAAACTGACAAAGCTCGCACAAATCACCGATTCGCGTGAGGGTAAGTCGGAAGTTGCAGACTCCGCAATTTATTCCGATAGGTGTTCCGCCTATGATTAGAGTATGCTTCCGAATCCTTGTCCAAAGTAATTTCGAGACTCTAGGTAAGGTGGAGTAGCATGAAATGCAGAGAGCTGCCTTAGTCTCAAAATGGATGTACCCGACACCAACTTGGCAATAGAATAAGGGTTCAAACGGTACGAAGAGATTAACTTCTGGAGGAGGAGTTATACCTCTAAGGGTGAGTGGGCACATTTGTGTTTGTTGCGTAATCGAATTGATAATGCGTCATTCGCTCGTAGATCTTCGGTGAACCCGGCAGTTATCGAGAAGTTAGTAGTCGTCGGCAAAACCGTCGGTAATTGTTCAGTAAAACACTGGTAAGGTGCCAGTAAGGTGTCGATAACCCGTTGGTAAAAGAACGTTCGTCGGTATATGGTTGGTAATGTCGGTATAAGAACGTATGTTGGTATATAGCCGGTAATGTCGGTAAAAGAACGTATGTCGGTATATTGTCGATAACGTCGGTAAAAGAACGTATGTCGGTATATCGTCGGTAATGTTGGTAAATCGAAAGTGTTCTCAATTGATTATTGTTTAAATGACTACTTTGTTGTACGGATTTACGAAGTTATTTCTTGAGACACAAGATTTTTAAGAGATTGAACTATTTGCGTTTTTCCGTGTTAGAATTCCGAGAGTGGCACCGCATGTGGTGGTCGACCCTAGTTTTATAGCCCGACCTTTTTTTTATAGCTTCCGCAGTGACGATGGAAAAGAGGAAAAATGCGTCGGAGATTTTTCTAGAATGTTCTCTTCCACGTGGTAGAAGCGTCTCTGAATTTGCTAACACGCGCGATTCCTTAGGTTAACGTGAATTTCACTTACCTTTAGTAGCACTTTCTTGATCGTGTCGGCTCGTACTTGGAGGTAGTGCGTGCGGCGAGGGTCGTTCACTGGGATGTTTGGCGGCGGCAGGCGTCGTGGTTGGAACGTTATTGGTATGCACTTCCACTGTAGGAGTTCGTCGTTGTTATTATTTTTAATGTTGAAAATGTTCTCGTATTCAGGATCGGCCTGATATTCCACTCCGAGGAATTGAGAATATTCCTCGGTCGCTGATTCGCGATAAAGTCGGTTTAGTTTTCGTAATTGATTCTTCCTTCCTGCGCGTCGCGTCTTAGGCATATTGAATTTGATGCATCCTCTGAATGATTACTCAAATAAGGAGGGTTGATATGCGGCGGACCTCACTATCAATTCCTTATTTTGGCAAATGCTGAGAATGTTAATTCTGACTGTGATGAGCGGTGGTCCGCTCCAAACACAGTTTGAATTATTCTGAATTCAAACGCCGTATGACAAATTTAAACGCTATCGTATTTTATCACGGGAGTGGAAGTTTGAAGAATACTGAACACTAGTTTTCACACATGAATACACTGATTTATTCGTATAGTAGTACAAAATTCGAGACTAAAACTTAGAATTAGAATTTAGATTTAGACTTAGAATTAGAGTTAGAATATTATACTTAGAGTTAGAATTTTAGAATTAGAGTTAGGATTTAGAATTTGGACTTAGAGTTAGAATTTAGGAGTGCGACTATACTGTTCGGTGTCGCGCAGAGAACTGCCGAAATTCGGGACTGCTCTGAGGTCCTTCGTTTCGGCGGCTCGGGCCTGCGGCGGCCTGGAGAGGGGGAACTCTCCGGAGTAGGGGCTCTCACCGTGGTGGGAGATCCTTAGGCGCTACGAAGCGCCACGCTTAGTTTCTAGGCGGAGTTAAGCGTCATGGCCGGCTTTGGCGCGCTTTTCAAATAGCGTTTAGGAACTTGGAGTAAACGAAAAAATTTATACGGCCGGACGTGACACAATACAATAACTCACGTCAGGGAAACTCCCCTCACCCCTCGAGGCCCAGGGACGAGGCTCGAGCGGGAACGTCTCGGGAAACAGATCGTCCAATACGACTAATAAACGCGGAGCAAGCCCTGGAGAAACCAGAATCGCCATGCTAACTCCGAACGATTTTTCGCACGCGCCCACCGTTTCCATTGCCGCGGACGGTTTAGCACGCAACACGAATTTCATGATAGATACTGGCGCGGCACCCAACTTGGTTAAACAAGGCCAACTAAGCCCCGATTGCGTTATCGATAAAAGCATAACTATTTTCCTTAGCGGAATTACAAGCGATAAAATCGAAACGCTCGGAGCGACAAGTATAAAATACCTCGGTCACAGGATCGACCTCCACTTAGTCCCAGACGACTTTCCAATTTCCCAAGGCGGAATCCTAGGATTCGAATTCTTACGCGACGCGTCTAAGATAGATTATTCCAAGCGCTGCATCGTGTGGCAGCAAACGCAAATCCCTTTTAACGATGCTCAGACGGTAAAAATCCCGGCTAGATCGCGGGCCACCGTCTCGCTCCAAGTCAGCAATCCCGAGGTCAGCATAGGATATATTCCGCGAATTCATGTGAACGAAGACATCTACTTAGGAGATGCCATCGTCACTAATCGTAACGGCACAGTATATATGAAAGCCGTTAACATAAGCGACAAGGACCACGAATTGTACTTACCTAGGGTAAGATTACAAGAGATCGAGAAAATTTCCAAATCTTGTCCACAGAACCTCGAGGATCCTTCATCCTATCTCAAGGGTCATAAAAGCACCCTCCTTAACCTAAAATTCCAACGCACGGGTCACATAAACACTGAGGGCGGTCCCTTAACCCTAGGGCATCTGGGGACCAATCTCATAAAACATAACGACATAAAACCTCAACACGTCGCAGCGTTGACCCGACAAAACACACAATCTCGTCCCGAAGAAATAAAAACACTGCTGCGGCTTGAACACTTAAATGCGGAGGAGACTAAACACGTACATAACCTCATAAACGTCTACAACGATTTGTTCCGTCTCCCCACCGATAAATTACACTCCACAGACGTCACTACACACACAATCCCGACAACCGACGAATTAGCGGTCCACACGAAACAATACCGATTTCCGCCGATGCACAAGGAGGAAATTAATAAACAAGTACAAGAACTCATCGAGAACGATGTCATTCAACCATCCACTTCACCGTACAACTCCCCCTTGTGGATCGTGCCAAAGAAACCGGACTCGAAAGGTAACAAACGCTGGCGCATGGTAATAGATTATCGGGCGCTGAATGAAAAAACGATCGGGGACGCGTACCCCCTACCGAACATAGTGGAAATCCTCGATCAACTAGGAAGCGCGAAGTACTTTAGCGTATTCGATTTAGCATCGGGTTTCCATCAAATCAAAATGGATAAAGCACACGCCCATAAAACGGCGTTTTCCACACCGTACGGGCATTACGAATTTAAGAGAATGCCGTTTGGGCTCAAAAACGCCCCCGCGACATTCCAAAGACTCATGGACCAGGTACTCACCGGACTTCAAGGCGCCGAACTATTTGTGTACCTTGATGATATCGTATTATATTCGAGCTCACTGCGAGAGCACGAAATAAAGTTCCACAAATTGGCGGAACGACTTAGGAAGGCAGGACTGCGACTCCAGCCCGACAAGTGCGAGTTCCTCCGTAAAGAAGTCACGTACCTGGGACATGTCATAAGCGAAACTGGAGTGAAACCCGATCCTAAAAAGATAACCGCGGTTCAGAGTTTCCCTCGCCCTAAAGACCCGAAGAATATCAAGCAATTTCTCGGGCTAGCGGGATACTACCGGAGGTTCATACCTAATTTTTCGAAGATAGCGCGCCCGCTTACCGATCTGCTGAAAAAGGATGAGACCTTTGTTTGGCATAAGGAACAGGAGACAGCCTTTACGCACCTCCGCGATGCATTGTGCAAAGAACCGATACTACAGTATCCGGATTTTACGAAACCTTTCGTTATAACTACCGACGCATCCGGATATGCAATAGGCGGTGTCCTGAGCCAAGGGCCGATTGGAAAAGACCTCCCTATAGCCTACACCTCCAGGTTACTAAATAAGGCCGAGCGAAACTATTCGACTATAGAAAAGGAACTATTAGCAATAGTTTACAGCGTAAATTTCTTCAGGCCTTACATATACGGTAAGAAGTTTAAATTGGTCACGGATCACAAACCTTTGGTGTGGCTACATTCAGTAAAAGACCCATCTTCCCGTCTTGTCCGATGGCGTCTAAAACTATTAGAATACGAGTATGAGGTATTATACAAAGCAGGAAAAATAAACGCCAATGCAGACGCCCTCTCGCGAAATCCTACCCCAGACCCTATGCCCGAAGTCGAACGAGTCCTCCCTCTCTCACAAATACAAAGATTGTCCGACTCCAATGAATCCCTATTCCCCGCCAAGAAGAAGCGAGGCGCAAAAACTCCACGAATCACAAACAAGCTGGATTGCGGCGAACAGCGTCCCTCACCGACCCCCGATAATTCGAAATCAGAGGAAACAAACTCGCCCCCTAGTTCCAGCGAGGACAGCGACTCGGAAAACGAAACCGATAGCAACTCCAGTTCCAGTAGCGAGGAGTTATTCATAAACGTAAACAGTCCTTTCATTCCACGGGCCGCCGTGAGGCCCCGCGTGATAAATATCCCGGACAATTTCGCGACCCGAAAAGATAACCTTGTCATTTTCATAACGCAACAAGGAACACCGATCGACAAGGGAGCCCAAATATTGCAAGTAGCGAACTCCTTGCCGATGACCAGAGATGCAGCTTTGGGCAGGGCAAGGGTAAGTCGCGAGGGCACCCGACGCGTAATTTCTCTCGCGGTAAAGGAGAGGATTTCCGGCGTTACCGAAAAGGAAATAATAAAAGAAGCAATACACTCGCTACTAGACGTTATCCGAGAATTGGGCTTGCAATCGATCTCGATCAGTAAAGGCAACGTTGACAATGTAGATTGGAATACGATATATAACCTCTTAATTAAAATACTAGACGAAATCGACATAAGAATATTTATTTGTACGAACGACATAACGGTCCCCGGGAAGGACCAAAGGGAACAAATTCTCGCCGAAAATCATTGTTCCGCGGTAGCAGGACACAAGGGCATCACCAAAACTTACAATAGGATTAAAAAACGCTACACTTGGAGCGGTATAAAAACTGATGTCCAAAATTTCGTCAAAAACTGCCGCGCGTGTCAATTAAAGAAATTGGTTCGCGTAAAAACCAAGCAACCAATGATCCTAACCGACACCCCCGATTCGGCCTTCGAAAAGGTCTCCATGGATATAATGGGTCCCCTCCCAACCACGAAACAAAACAATACGTACATCCTAACTATACAGGACCTGCTAACCAAATACTCCCTTGCGATCCCACTCCGACAAGCAGGAGCGATACAAGTAGCAGAAGCATTTACTAACGACCTTATTTGTACATTCGGCGCGCCAAAAGCGATCCTCACCGACCAGGGCTCACACTTTATAAACAGCCTCATGAGGACAGTAGCCCGAAAATTTAAAATCAAGCAATGTAAGACCACAGCGTACAGACCACAAGCGAACGGATCGGTAGAACGATCACACCAGGTACTCTGGGAATATTTGAAGCAATTTGTTGATAAAAATAGTGAATGGGATCAAATTTTAAAACTAGCATCGTTTTCGTATAATACGAGCGTACATGAGGGTACAAAATACACTCCGTACGAACTCATTTTCGGGAAAATCGCGCGGGTCCCCTCGAGCGACCCGGACATCGAAAGCATGACTAACGAAAGCTATACACAATATTTAACCACACTATTCAACAAATTGCGCGATTCCCAAACAGCCGCACGCGAAAACTTAAATAATGCTAAGAATAGAAGTAAGAAATACTACGATAAGAAAATCAATACGCGTAAATTTAAGATTAACGATAGCGTTTATTTACTTAAGGAACCTAACAAAGGGAAATTAGGAGACCAATATACAGGTCCCTATAGGATAATAAAGATACTAGGTAAAAATAACGTTAAGTTAGCTATAAGCAATAGTAAGACTAAAACCGTACATATGGACAAGTTAAAGCCCTCACCACATCAAGCCCCCACCCTTGAAGACCCCCACTCCGAAGACGAATATATCTCGGACGCCCCAACGGAGGACGGGCCAGTAATCAACCAACCACGCTAAGATGAGGACTCTCGCAATTATCCTGGGCATGGCCTTCCTGGCCCCACTATCCAGCGGACTAATCGGATACGACTGTGGAGGACGGGGCCTGAACATCACAACACTCTCCCTCTTAGATATCGAAGAGTGTAAAACCAACAGCATCGAACCTAAGAAGGAGGAAGTCTATATACAACTACTCCAACTCAGTGAATTCGTGCATACTCCTGCCTACCAATGCAAAATCGAAATAGACCGGACTATATTTTACTGCGGAATGCACTCTCATATAGCAGCGGTGCAGAACGGAAGACAGGAGTATATCCACGAAATATCGGCAGATACATGCCGAAAATTGCACGAAACAGGGACCATATCTCTAGGAGTTAACCAGCACATTACTGGGATTAAGCCAAATGCAACAAACCTAAGAGCAATGACACTCGCAGGATCAGTTAAGACAGACGGAAAATGCAGCGGCACCCAGTTCAGCGACGCATACGGTTCATGGGACGACGTGATCGTGCAAGCCTCAGTACGAATCACGATACGACAATTGGAGCTGCCCGTTGGATACAATAACAATGAAGTGATACTTCCATCCGGCACTCGCTGTCCCGTAACGACAGGCGAATGCATTGATGCCGACGGCGCCTCCACCTTCTGGACAATCCTGCCAATTGACAACTGTCACTTTGGACGATACGATGTTCTCTACGAAGGAATAGCATATCGATTGTCGCCCGGCACTCCCCAAGAGGAAGCGCCAACGATTTATACAGTCACGGCGCGTGATACAACCTTCGCATTAGCAAGGACAACCGAGACCAACGTATGCGGATACAACCTTTGGCGAACGGAACATCCCAAGCTGTGTATCCTCGAAACGAGGCCCGAACGGACATTCAAAAGCCGTTCCAAGGTCAGAATCGACAACCTCGACATCTTCACATATGTGAATTCAAAATTTATATACGTCGAGAAACACCTGAAAACCCAGCTGACCCAACTATACAAGGATATTATGGAGCAAAAATGTGCACTGGAAAGGCAGATCCTCCTCAACGCACTTTCTCTAGCAAGCATAGCACCTGACGAAATGGCGCATCGAATAATGAAGTCTCCAGGTTATACCGCCATAACTGCAGGTGAAGTTATACACCTCATCAAATGTATACCTGTCAAATGCCGCCTACGACCTACCGAGGAGTGCTACAACGAACTCCCCGTCACTCATCAAAATAAGTCACTCTTCCTCTTACCAAGATCGAAGATACTTACTAAAGCCGGAACATCGAGGGATTGCAATGAACTATTACCAACTCTATACCAAATACACAACACCTGGTATAGACTAACACCGAAACCCGTGGAATCGGTGGCACCGCCTACTATCAGGCCTCTAACCAAACCCTCATGGAAGTACGTAAGCCCGGATTCACTCGCTTCCAGTGGTATCTATACGAACGAAGATCTTGATCGTCTTCGCGACCATATCATGTTCCCCGTGGAAAAACCCTCCATGCTCCACACAATCGCCAGGGGAGCAATGGGACAGGAAATTCCTACAGGCAGTTTCTCCTTGCTGAATTTATTAGACGAGAAATCTCTCGACCGAATAGCGGAAAATACCGGAGCCAGGCTATGGAAGGGATTTATAAGCTTCGGATCCGCCAGCGCCGGAGTACTTGGCATCTTCGTTACCGTACGGTTGATAAAATTAATAATCGACACCCTGATCCATGGGTACGCACTCCACTCGGTGTACGGATGGAGTCTACATCTACTCGGAGCCATTTGGACCTCGGTGACCAACGTTCTCCTACACCTTGGTAGATCAGCGGACGGAGAACAGGACAACGGACGAGAACTGCTACACCAGAAACCCCCTCCAACGAACGAAGAAGAAACACCCTTAACCCTGCCCACACAACAAACCCCTTCGATTAACGAATCAGACAGTGGCAAAGTGTGTGCAAAAACTCACCCTACGAGTGTTCCCCCAATGAAAGATTACGGCGAACTAAATAAATATTTACATAATCAATGTTAAGTTAAGAACCTAATCGTAGCGCATAGAAAACTAAGTCCAAAATGTTGGAACATTAAATTCCAACATTTTTATTTTAAGGGGGGAGGTGTCACGTCCGGCCGTATAAATTTTTTCGTTTACTCCAAGTTCCTTAAACGCTATTTGAAAAGCGCGCCAAGCCGGCCATGACGCTTAACTCCGCCTAGAAACTAAGCGTGGCGCTTCGTAGCGCCTAAGGATCTCCCACCACGGTGAGAGCCCCTACTCCGGAGAGTTCCCCCTCTCCAGGCCGCCGCAGGCCCGAGCCGCCGAAACGAAGGACCTCAGAGCAGTCCCGAATTTCGGCAGTTCTCTGCGCGACACCGAACAGTATAGTCGCACTCCTAAATTCTAACTCTAAGTCCAAATTCTAAATCCTAACTCTAATTCTAAAATTCTAACTCTAAGTATAATATTCTAACTCTAAATTCTAAGTCTAAATCTAAATTCTAATTCTAAGTTTTAGTCTCGAATTTTGTACTACTATACGAATAAATCAGTGTATTCATGTGTGAAAACTAGTGTTCAGTATTCTTCAAAACTTCCACTCCCGTGATAAAATACGATAGCGTTTAAATTTGTCATACGGCGTTTGAATTCAGAATAATTCAAACTGTGTTTGGAGCGGACCACCGCTCATCACAGTCAGAATTAACATTCTCAGCATTTGCCAAAATAAGGAATTGATAGTGAGGTCCGCCGCATATCAACCCTCCTTATTTGAGTAATCATTCAGAGGATGCATCAAATTCAATATGCCTAAGACGCGACGCGCAGGAAGGAAGAATCAATTACGAAAACTAAACCGACTTTATCGCGAATCAGCGACCGAGGAATATTCTCAATTCCTCGGAGTGGAATATCAGGCCGATCCTGAATACGAGAACATTTTCAACATTAAAAATAATAACAACGACGAACTCCTACAGTGGAAGTGCATACCAATAACGTTCCAACCACGACGCCTGCCGCCGCCAAACATCCCAGTGAACGACCCTCGCCGCACGCACTACCTCCAAGTACGAGCCGACACGATCAAGAAAGTGCTACTAAAGGTAAGTGAAATTCACGTTAACCTAAGGAATCGCGCGTGTTAGCAAATTCAGAGACGCTTCTACCACGTGGAAGAGAACATTCTAGAAAAATCTCCGACGCATTTTTCCTCTTTTCCATCGTCACTGCGGAAGCTATAAAAAAAAGGTCGGGCTATAAAACTAGGGTCGACCACCACATGCGGTGCCACTCTCGGAATTCTAACACGGAAAAACGCAAATAGTTCAATCTCTTAAAAATCTTGTGTCTCAAGAAATAACTTCGTAAATCCGTACAACAAAGTAGTCATTTAAACAATAATCAATTGAGAACACTTTCGATTTACCAACATTACCGACGATATACCGACATACGTTCTTTTACCGACGTTATCGACAATATACCAACATACGTTCTTTTACCGACGTTATCGACAATATACCAACATACGTTCTTTTACCGACATTACCGACGATATACCGACATACGTTCTTTTACCAACGGGTTATCGACACCTTACTGGCACCTTACCAGTGTTTTACTGAACAATTACCGACGGTTTTGCCGACGACTACTAACTTCTCGATAACTGCCGGGTTCACCGAAGATCTACGAGCGAATGACGCATTATCAATTCGATTACGCAACAAACACAAATGTGCCCACTCACCCTTAGAGGTATAACTCCTCCTCCAGAAGTTAATCTCTTCGTACCGTTTGAACCCTTATTCTATTGCCAAGTTGGTGTCGGGTACATCCATTTTGAGACTAAGGCAGCTCTCTGCATTTCATGCTACTCCACCTTACCTAGAGTCTCGAAATTACTTTGGACAAGGATTCGGAAGCATACTCTAATCATAGGCGGAACACCTATCGGAATAAATTGCGGAGTCTGCAACTTCCGACTTACCCTCACGCGAATCGGTGATTTGTGCGAGCTTTGTCAGTTTACGTACGAAGATTACTTACGCAACCCCAACGACGTTTCGCATAGAGCAATCGACGAAGCTATCTTTATTACAGTAGAGTCACAGGTAGGTCCCTCGCAATAATCCGATCACCTCAGTTCCAGCGCGAATAACCTCAGATCGCGGGTATCCCCGGGGAGAATCGCATAGATTCGCGTACCCGTAATAGCGATCGTGTCTCGTGGAAAAAGCCGAGCTCTGCATTCAAATTTTCGCAGCCGCGACCCCACGAGACGTAACACGAGCAACTCTTCTCAACTCCTCAGCGATATCGCTAGCGCAGATCACGGCCTAGTTTGCGATAAAATGCTTCAAACAGATGACCATCTTAAAATTCTCGGCATCCGGTGGAATCCGTCCTCTGACGCCTTTCAATTTAACGTTACACTTCCGCATTCCGAGCAGACTACCAAACGGTCGATCCTTTCAACTATCGCGAGATTGTTCGATCCGTTGGGGTGGAGTACTCCGGTTACTGTTGTCGCGAAGATTTTCCTTCAGAAACTCTGGCTGCTCAAAATCGGATGGGACGACGTGCTTTCCGCTGACATTCTCGATCGCTGGGACTCCATTCGCTCATCTCTTGCCGCTCTGCACGGTCTTCAATTGGACCGCTGGATCCAACGCGGTGCAGATAGCGTCAGATGCGACTTACACGGTTTCGCAGACGCATCTTCGCACGCTTACGCTGCCGCCGTGTATATTCGAATAGTTTCGTTATCCGATGAAATAACAGTACGATTGTTAATCGGAAAATCAAAAGTCGCGCCGATAAAAACATTAAGTATTCCACAGCTGGAACTCGCCGCTGCCGTGTTACTCGCGAAACTAATCGATTTTGTCAAATCATCCCTGCATCTCCCTGCAGATTCTTGCCACTGTTAGATCGATTCCACGGTAGTTCTCGCGTGGGTGGCGCAACATCCATCAAAGTGGAAGACGTTCGTCGCGAATCGCGTCTCTGAAATACAATCTAGACTCCCAAACGCGCAATGGAGACACGTCCCCACTGATCACAATGCCGCGGATTGCGCGTCACGCGGTATACCCGGTGAGAATTTTACCTCTCACACACTCTGGTGGCGGGGACCTGCATGGTTACATTTTTCTGAATCCGAATGGCCGGCGCCATTCGATTCGTCTCTTTCGACGACCACGATGGAGCGAAAAGAAAACGCGGCGTCTCATCTCGTGTCGCGACGAAAACCATGGGACCTTGCCGCACGGTACTCTTCGTGGCCGCGTTTAATTCGTGTCACCGCCTACATCATGAGATTCATCTCAAAGCTTAAAAGGCACTTGGTGCCGCGCGACACATGCGACGAAGGCTCCCGGTCAATTTCCGCGCTCGAATGTAGAAAAGCACGAGACTTTTGGTTGTCGCAAATTCAATCAGATTTATTCGCGCGGGAAAAGGAATCTTTGTTGCAGCAACGTTCGATTCCAGCGAAGAGTGCATTGTTGTCTTTAACGCCATTTCTCGGCGAAGACAAACTAATCCGTGTTGGCGGGCGGCTGTCGCGTGCCCCCATGCGGTTCTCCGAAAAACATCCTATAATCTTAGCTGCACATCCTCTTGTGAACCTCCTCGTGCAGCACGTGCATTTAAGATCTCTTCACGCGGGGCCTCAATTAACTCTAGCTACTCTTCGTCGAGAGTACTGGATATTGCGTGCTCGAAATATCGTCAAAGCTGTCGTTTTCCGCTGCGTAGTATGCACGCGTGAAAAGGCCGCTACTCCCAATCAATTGATGGGAAACTTGCTTTTGGTGCGCGTTTCTCCTCCTGCGCGCGCGTTTATTCATTGTGGTCTCGATTATGCTGGTCCCGTTTTAATCAGATCAATGTCGGGACGCGGTGTCGCTTCCCGCAAAGCCTACATCTCCATCTTCGTCTGTATGGCCACGCGAGCCATACATTTAGAATTAGTCGAGAGGTATTTCACTCCAGCCTTCTTAGGCGCTTTTTCAAGATTCTGCTCCCGACGTGGCCTGCCTGAATCAGTCTACTCTGATAATGGAACCACGTTTGTAGGCGCCGATCGCGAATTGGCCGCATCATTTCGAGCCGCGCTGCGCGATCCAAATTTTCAAAATAGTGCCGCTTCCGACGGGGTGTCATGGCATTTTATGCCTCCATCCGCGCCTCACTTCGGCGGACTATGGGAGGCCGGGGTTCGCAGTGTCAAGTATCACCTTCGCAGAATCGTCGGTTCGCACACTCTTACGTTCGAAGAGTTCACAACGATTCTCTGCAACATTGAGGCCTGCCTAAACTCGCGCCCTATCGCGCCTCTCACCGATTCCGTCGACGATTGCGATTCTCTGACGCCCAGTCATTTCTTGATCGGGTCCGCGATTACGATCGCGCCTGAACCCTCTGTACTGCACCTAGCTGAGAACCGCTTGACGCGCTGGCAACTTGTTCGCCAGCTCACAGAACGTTTCTGGAAAATCTGGCAGCAGGACTACGTCAATACCTTGCAACAACGCGTCAAATGGAAGCAAGTTTCGAAAAACGGAATTCGCGTCGGGTCGCTGGTCCTGTTACGCAATTCTCTTCTTCCGTCTTGTAAATGGGACTTAGCTCGCGTCATCCGATGTCGCCCGGGTCCAGACGGTTTGATTCGCGTCGCGACGGTGAAAACCGCGACTTCCGAATATACTCGGCCTATTGTCAAATTATGCTTACTTCCGATAGATGTCGAAAGCCTGGACAACTTTACGTAATTAAGTTCAGACTCCAGATATCGCTTCTAACTCATTCTGTAAAACGACATACCGAACGCTTCACCAATCGCCTTTTTTTTTTGTTGTTCAATTCATTTCGAAACGATGGTTTCGAGGCGGGCGGTATGTTTAGGCACGACTAAAAACAATAATTAGAAGGTTATCGATCAGCTTGTTAAACCTTCAAATTTAAAAATACCAAGGAGCTTATGTCAATGTTTTCGCTCCTCGGTTCGCATTCACCGATGTTTGCGTCCATTTAGACACGTGTCATTCGGCTGATGCGTGATTTTGGTTCCCCTTCTCAGTCGAGAAAATCAGGAAGTTTCGCCGTACGTGGCGATTCTCGCATTATTCTGTAAGGAGCTGTTGAGCGAGAACATGCTCTCAAGTAATATAATATTTTTCAAAAGTTAAACGAGTCACAGTTACTCCGCCTTCAGTATCTCCTCGCCACTGCTTCCTTGGTTCCTACCTCGCGCTCTTTCGGAGCGGTCCCGGCTATTCATTAACGTTCACATTAAAACTATAATAAGTTAAAAAAAAAAAAAAAAGAGAAGAAAAAACCTTCGAAGTGTGAACAGTGCCTTTTGCAAGTTATTCCACATCTGCGAATAGATTTGACTTAACTAGTAGCTTTATCACAGAACAAGAATAGTTATTCGAATCGCAAACAGCTATAATGCATCGATAACAGTGCCACTCAATAGATGTTCGTATAGTTTCCGCTTAAAATCTACTTTTAATTCTGTTTCTCGTATTTCCGGTGTCAGACTATTCCATAATTTAGAAGCAATTGAGGTAAAAAAGCGCGCCCAGATCTCCGTCCTGCACTTAGGCCGCAAAAGAAGTCCATCCGGAGCTCTTTGTTGCTCTCGATGCTGTAGCCGACTTAAAAGTGAATCTATTATATAGCAGATTGAGCAAGTGCTTGAGATAGTAACACCCAGATATTTAACACAGGTGGAAAGTTGTATTGCAGCTCCATCAATACTTATGTCAGGTAGTTGGTCATATTCGATTGCATTAATGTATTTGGCGATACCAAAAATGATGGCTTGTGTTTTTGCAGAGTTTAAAATCAGTCCGTTTTGATGCGCCCATTGTGCGATGGATTCAATATCCTCAATGACTTCTCGGATGCCATTTCGCAGATTTGCTGGTTCACAGTGCAAATATATCTGTAGATTATCTGCATAGAAATTATATTTACAATGATGCAGAGCTTTGCAGATATTGGACACATACAATGTAAACAACAACGGACCCAAAACAGAATCCTGCGGAATTTCATTCCTGATGTACGTCAAAGATGAAGCAGTGCTTTCAGACCAATCATAAACTGTTTGGGTTCTATCTTGTAGATACGATGCCGTCCATCACAGTACAGCATTAGAGTACCAAATTTTGCAGTTTTCCTATAAGAACATCAGATGTACTCTGTCAAAGACCTTAAAAAAATCAAAGAAAATTAAAACAGTCACCTTTCTGCAATCCGCAGCACACCGCAAATCATCGAGCAATCTGATCAAGCAGGTTTAAGTTGACGAATTCCGCCTGTAAGCAAACTGACACGTATCCAACAAGTCACCTTCTGTCAAATATTCAATTAATTGATCTGACACGATTCTCTCCAACACCTTAGAAAGAAATGGCAGAATCGAGATCGGCCTGTAGTGCTGCGCTTCCATCGGTTGTCTGATCTTAGGGATTGGTGTAATCATTGCTAATTTCCAGATGATTGGCACAGTTCCATGTATGAGCGAATAATTGTATATATTTTCAATGACAGGCATAATGTACGGCAACGTCATATTTATGAGCTTAGATGAGATCTTGTACGCCAATGGTATTTGACTTTATTTTCGCAAGAGACTTCCACACTACATCCGGGGTGACATATTTAAAAAAGAATTTTCTGTTATCAAAATTTTTACACAACGTATGTGAAGTGCCAACTCTACTAGCGTCTCTTCAGCAGATGATATGCCTGTCTTTGCAAAAAATTTGTTTAATTTATCCGCAGAACAAGCTAGCTTTCTGTTCTGATCCTTCGCCTTTATTAAGCCTAGGTGTCTTAATTTATTTCAAGTTGTTGATGGTTTGATGGACTAAAGATGGTTAGATAGTAGTTACTTTTAGCAGTTCGAATTTGCCTCTGCACGTTGTTTTTTAGAGTCTTGAATCTGTCGTAACTTGCAATATTCCTGTTCCTCCTTCAGATTCTCCTTATAACATTTCTTTCGCGTATACTGCTTCGTATTTCATTTGTGAACCACGGAGCTGGAAGATTAGTAAAATAAATTTATTTTAAAGGAGCATTTCTATTCAGACAGTCCAGAAGTCTATCATTTAATATTTGAACTTTGTGTTCTATGCATTTAGATGTCATTAGTTCAGTCCAGTCACTCTCAGATATCTCTGCAAAAAAGTCATGCTTCTGGAAGTTTCTGAAATCTCTACACAGGACCAATCTCTTAGAACGTCGTTCAACTTTGATGTTGTAGATTACATTGATTTGATCATGCGCAGATAGAAACGGTACAGCCATTTTATTGTAATTAATAAGTTTGTCCGCATCATCAATTATGCACAGATCCAAGAAGGTACTTGAGTTTTTCAGATGGTATGTGGATCTGTATGGTACCAAGTACATGCCCGCAGAGGTTACGAAATTTGAATTTGTGCACTGTCGTGTGTATCTATGTTCATATCCGCGGTAAAATTACCAAAGATTAATGCCTATATTTTGTCTGTAGATCCAGGAAGGCATCCAAGAATTCATTTAGGTACCCGCAGTTAGGTGGCCGGTAGACCACGGTTATAAGTAAACTGCATGCATTTTGAAAAGTAATCTCTGCCATTAAGAATTCAGGTTTTCAGAGTTGTGTATCTACGGTGACTGTTTTAATACAATCATCCTGATCGAGTTTAGAATATAAAAAGCCACACCACCCTGCCTTCCAACTCTGTCATTCCTTACCAGATAGTACTCAGATAGATAGTCTGCTGTCAGGAATTTTCGTATTGAGCCAGGTCTCCGACAAACATATGACGTGGTATTCCGAATTAATGAAATGCAAACAAAATTCATCAAAATGCGCCATTAACGATTGACGAGTTAACATGACATACTTTTAACCTGTCATATCCTGAAATTGTGCTAACCATAATTTACATTCTTGATTTTATCCTTGAGAATAGGGCATCTTGTAGTGTCCGGAGCAAAAGTGGGCTCTGTCATTGGGATGTCCCCTGGAAAACCGAGTGCAATTGCAGCAGAGCAATTGCTGTCCTCCTTTGTTGCAATCCTTCATCTCATGTGGCCCCGAACAAAGACCACAAATCACAGACAATTTACAGTCTCTTGCTATATGCCTAAATATCATGCACCTGTAGCATTGCAGGACTCTGATGTAATCGGCAAAATTACACGCCAAATATCTCAAATAAGTTTGTCCGTTTTAAGCAGCCGTTTCCGCATTTCCGGCGTCACCACGATAATACAGCTGGTGTATCGCTTGCTGTTTTTTGCTTGATAGAAATCTATTATTTTCAGATGATTTTTGTTGCAATTATTTAAATTTTGTGCAATTAAATCTTTTTTTTATTTCTTCTATAGTCATATCTGCCGGCACCCCGTGTACAATCAATCTTGGACTGACCTTAGCACTTTCCATGACTTTAAGTTCCGCACGTATGAGGTCCGGATGTGCGCTGATCTTTCCAAGATCCGATGAAACAGCCTCTATTCTAATGCCACTGTTCCGTGCATTAGTAATCTTATCTACCTTTAAGACACAGTCGGAAGGTCTCAGCAATCTGCATACAGTCTCTTTGGTGGCTTGTGACGACGCAAATTTTCTTATATTATCCTTATCAGGCACTATTACAAAAGACGTGGCTGCAAAGATATCATACGTAGATTTGCGTAATATATGGACTCTCGACACATCACTTACCACTGAGCTCATTAGAGCATTGTCCTGCGCTTTCTATGACTTTCGCATTTATATTTCGAAATTACCTAAAACATCTCTAAAAGCATTTTTGATTACATCGGTTCTTTCAGCCGCTCTCTCTTCCAGTAAGTTAGTAAGCATTCCGGTAACTTCAAAGAATGCTTCCTTACAGTAGCAAAAAGCAGATTTAATCTGGTTTCTTTTTTCAGCTGTCTCATTGCATGTCAGTAAAATTTTTACGATTGCATCATTATGCTCATTTATTAAAATTTTTAAGGCATTAATTTTAGACAACTGTAAATTTCCTTTTGATACGCTCCTGTCACTTCCACCCGACAAAGACAACTGTGAAGGTCGCTTACTCATTACACGTCCCCCCGCACCGTCAACAGACGAAACGCTATTCTGCCGTTTGTTATTGTTGTCATTTTGCTTTGACATGACAAGAGTCTAAATGTCATCATCAATGTAAAAATAACCGTTAACAGCTCGGCGTATGCCTCCGTTAATATTCACAAAAGTGCAGTTTTCTCAGTTCACCACGTTACAGTCAGTCATACAACAGTCTCACCGCATTCTACTCTCTCACTCCATCCTTCCGCTTCTCCTTTTTCTCCCATATCTCCCTCACAACCTCCTGCCAACTCTCTCTTCCCTCACTCTTCCTCCCACATTTCTCCCACACATGTTCCCACGACTTTTCCTCTTCCCACCACATACCTGCATTTTCTCTTCTCCTCTTCCTCCCAATATCTACTTTCTAACATCTCGTTTCCTAGTCTAAATCTCGCTACTCTTCTCCATCTACTCACCCTCCAATCCTTTTTTAAATATTCTGGCACTCTTTTCCCTCTAACCTGTTTATACCATTTATTATATACTGACCTTCCTATTCTCTCCTCCCTCTCCTTTCTCTGTTCCTTCCAATCCTTCTTTAATAATTCCCCAAACCATCCCTCTTCCTCCCCTCTCTTCTCTTCTACTTCCTCTATTCTCTTTCTTCTTTTTTTGAAGTATTCTTCTCTTTCCCTTTTTTAT